TTGCTCACCTCCCAGCCTTAAGGCATATCATCTGAACCAGTTGTGAGCGGCTGGCAAAACCCATTGCCCACAGCAGAAGCCACTGGCAAAAGGAAGCTTGATTGTAAGAACTCAGGCAGTCAAAATTGTAAAAGAAACCCCTTCTTCAAGCATAAGCCTTATCAATTGATAATTGCTTTACCCCCCTGAATGGCCAGATAAGATTAGCAACCCTTTCACTCAAACACTGCTGCACATGACTACGAAGGGGGGGGGGCAGTGAACAGGGCTACTACCACCAATAACATGGCAATGATCATGATTTTTTTTTTTACTTGTATGGTTTCTTCAATGTGTTTCCCTCTGACCACTAAACTGATCTGACACAGATTGGCAAATGGATCCTCAAACAAGCAGCCTAACAGAGCACCAGAAAACTTTTAACTTTTATTTCTTTTTGATTTTAAAAAAAAAGTTATTATATTCCTGCAAATGAATATGCACACAGTTGGCAGTAAAGAAATCACATTCCTTGACAGAAAAATTGAAGAGAGAGAGAATAGATGCTAAATTAAATGTAGATAAACCTCTACAATAGGACACAGCAAAGGAAAACAACAATTTAAATGGAGACGGGGAGGAGGCATGGCAAATTGCCCTCTCTGCCAATAATTACTAAGTGTTTATCCTGTTTTTCTTTTTAGGAGAGAGAAAGGGAGGGAGGGAGGGAGGGAGGGAGGGAGAGGGAGAGAGAGAGAAAGAGAGAGAGAGAGAGAGAGAGAGAGAGAGAGAGAGAGAGAACTCAAGGAGATGCCAGGTTTCCCTGCCTAGTAAACACAGTTTACATTTACCAATAAAATCTCATATTGCTCTGTGTTCTCATAAGAAATCGCTCATTTCACATGAAATAGATGCTCTTTAGCTATATTAAGGTATGGCAGAATAAGCTCACCTTGTTTTTATTTTTTCTCATTTTCTTGCATTTTCTTCAGATCTGTCTTCTTAGAGAAACTAATGCCTTAATGACTTTCTGGTAGCTGCAAGCCTTCTTTTATTTCTGCTAAATATATGAAAATGTATGCAAATTTAAATCAAGCTTAACCTAGGAGCTCTTGCAATATATTTAATGGAATTTTAAACCAATAAGGGAACTCTTATGCCGTATTCTATAAGAGCAAATATAATTACACAGCTAGGTTATTTCCAAAATTATGCAATGAAAGGTCATTTTTTAACATCAGAAATTATGTTGGGTATCATGTTGGGTATGCTCTTTCCGCGCTACAATAAATCCAAAATATTTATTTTCACCCGAATCTGCTTACAATCAACGGCTTTGCTGGGACTGTGGACTTTACTTTCCCTAACTTATAAAAGCTTAGGAGGAATTAAGTCTTCTTTTTTCTTTTAACCAAAATGTAAAAACAGTCCTGTCTTCCCAAGCTAAAAGAAAATTCAAACTTAATACCAAATAGTCAGCTCCTGCCTGCGTGCTCGCTCCTGCGCTTCTCTCTCTCTCTCTCTCTCTCTCTCTCTCTCTCTCTCTCTCTCTCTCTCTCTCTCTCTCTCTCTGTGTGTGTGTGTGTGTCTCTCTCCCTCTCCCTTTACCTCTCTCTGTCTGTGTGTGTGTGTCTCTCTCTCAATGATTACAATTTAATTCAAGCTATCTGAAATCTGGGGTTGGCAGCAGGACTATGTCACAATCATTTTTCCTAGGTGAAAGCATAGGGCACGTTTATCAAGAAAGTTTTCTGTGTACCTATTGAGTGTCTCTGGTGAGTGTAAGGGAGGGCTGTACACTGCAGCAAGCTTTGTTTCTGAGGTAAGTTGTGTGGCTGCTGCTAGGAGCTCATTTGGAGCAGTAATAAAAAGTAGGTCTTCCATTTGACCAACTGGATTGGGAGACAAACCTCAAAATGATTGGAATTTACCAGAGCACATTAGATTTTATTTTTCCTGAATTCCTCATTCTTCGTGCCCTAAATTTTTTTTTTTTTCAGAAGAAATCAGCATCTCTTTCTTAGATAATTTCTGACCTTGGTACAAGTTTCTTATAAATGATAAAATGATTTAATGAATCTTAATATTTATTATTGGAATCATGGACTTCAGTCTTATAGGTGTAAGGTCCTATTGAAGACTATCCCTTGCTCAAAGTTTGTAGTGAGGTTTCCTTTTGCAAGCTCCCCCTATACAACTAATCCAGAACGCCTGAAGAATCTGAGAAAAATTCTTATTCATGAAGATCTATCCAGATGACATTTAAACTGATTATATTATTTCCTTAATATGCTTTTCTTTCTCTAGGTTAATTTAAATAATCTGAAAGGAGTTGTAAAACCAGTTTGCTGCCTCAGCCCCTACTCGTCCCCCCAAATACACACATAAACACGCATCCCTCTCATCCTTCCCCCTCCACTACAAACACCCTTGAAGTAGGGAGGATGGTAGAGAAGGCTAACGAAATATGCTGCTGCCACTCAGCGCTCAGCAACCAATGGAACCAAATGATTTGATTCACTTCCTGCTTGAGTCTCACTGAAACTCTCGAGCTTCAGCAGCCTATTTTGAAAGAGATCCCGTCCTCCCGCGTAGTCATTGGTTAAACTCAAGGCAGGCCAGGCAGAGACGCTCTGCTATTGGACGCAGAGGGTGCCTGTAACTCTCACTCGCGGCTTTGGCTCCCCCGCGCCGTAGATGTCAAAGGCTGAAGCTGCTCCCTTTTCCACATTATAACTAGTAGGGGATCCTCACCGACTATGGCCACAGCTGCCTCGAATCCCTACAGCATTCTCAGTTCCAGCTCCCTTGTGCATGCGGACTCTGCGAGCATGCAGCAGGGGAGTCCTTTCCGAAACCCTCAGAAACTTCTCCAAAGTGATTACTTGCAGGGAGTTCCTAGCAATGGGCATCCCTTAGGGCATCACTGGGTGACTAGTCTGAGCGATGGAGGCCCATGGTCCTCCACACTAGCCACCAGTCCCCTGGACCAGCAGGACGTGAAGCCCGGGCGTGAAGACCTGCAATTGGGCGCGATCATCCATCACCGTTCACCGCACGTCGCTCATCACTCTCCTCACACAAACCACCCGAATGCCTGGGGGGCGAGCCCTGCTCCGAACCCGTCCATCACGTCCAGCGGCCAACCCCTCAACGTGTACTCGCAGTCTGGCTTCACTGTGAGCGGCATGCTTGAGCATGGGGGCCTCACTCCACCGCCAGCCTCCGCCTCATCACAGAGCCTACATCCAGTGCTTCGGGAGCCCCCAGACCATAGCGATCTGGGCTCGCACCACTGCCAGGACCACTCGGATGAGGAGACACCAACCTCGGATGAATTGGAACAGTTCGCCAAACAGTTCAAACAAAGAAGAATCAAGTTGGGTTTCACGCAGGCCGACGTGGGGCTGGCGCTGGGAACATTATATGGCAACGTGTTTTCACAAACCACCATCTGCAGGTTCGAGGCCTTGCAACTGAGCTTCAAGAACATGTGCAAACTGAAGCCGTTGCTAAACAAGTGGCTGGAGGAGGCCGATTCATCTACAGGGAGCCCGACTAGCATTGACAAGATTGCAGCGCAGGGACGAAAGCGCAAGAAGCGAACCTCCATTGAGGTGAGTGTCAAGGGCGTACTGGAGACGCATTTCCTCAAGTGTCCCAAGCCTGCAGCGCAGGAGATTTCCTCGCTGGCAGACAGCCTCCAGTTGGAGAAAGAAGTGGTGCGTGTCTGGTTCTGTAATCGAAGACAGAAAGAGAAAAGAATGACTCCTCCAGGGGATCAGCAGCCGCATGAGGTTTATTCTCATACGGTGAAAACAGACACGTCCTGCCACGATCTCTGACTGCAGGAAGCGAAGAAGCAGCCGGCCCCACTGGGAGCAGCGCGAATTTCTTTTTCAGTCTCACTTTCGTTCGGTCTAGCTTTATTTGCGCTCTCTCTCTCTGTCTCTCTTTCTCTCTCTCTCTCTCTCTCTCTCTCTCTCAAAACAGGTGATTTTAACTCACATTAAGAAAGGAAACGGGTGCGCGCGCGCGCACACACACACACACACACACACACACAGACACAACACACTCATTCAGGCTTCCCTAATGCTGACATACAGTTACATTAAGCAGTTCAGGCTAGGACCTCATAGTCCCTGCCGCCCATGCAAGTTTCCTCCAACCTTTTCTGCTCACCAATACATATTGTTTACTTTGAGAAAGATTTGTTTGGTTGCTCCTCTCTAGGCTGAGTAAGGAGTGTAGTAACATGGGGCGGGGTAGGGATGTGGGAGGTGGGGGTGGGAAGACAGATGTGTGCCTCTGAATAACCTTTCAGCGCCTTGGTTATAGCAGCTGTATTTCAGGTGAAATTTGTTTTACAATAGACTAGTTTTGCATTTTTTAAAACTTCGATAGCATTTCTAAATGTCTGCGGTGTTTTACTAAAGCTGTACACAATATTTGTGAGATAATTTGTATCTAATCGACCACTCAACATTATTATTATTATTATTCCTTCATTGAGCTGATAGTTTTTTAATTGCTTAGAAAAGGGAGGGGAGTCTGGGAGGAGGAAAGGGAAGATATGCCTACGCATTCACCCACCCCTATCCCAAATCTGTGTAGAGAAAATATAATACAATAGGGAGCGTTTATAATTATATCGAAGTTATATGGAGGGATATATCTCTCTATACACTTTTCCCGGGGCGGAGTGCCTAGGATGGGCAGAATAGGCAGATTTATTAGATTTGCAAACCAGCGCAAAGTTGGTGAGGCCATTCCGAAGTTTTCTGCGCTGCCTCAGGGAACTGTGGAGCCCCTGCGATGTTCCTCGGCACAGATCTGGGTATCCGGGAAAGATTTGGTCGCGAATCCAGGAGAAAAAGGTTGGCCCGAGGAGCAGAGAGGGATCCGCACCTACTGAATTCCGGAAACGCTGGCAGTGGGCGCTTGCACCAGCCTAGCGAAGCGCCAGACTGAGGACTAGCGCTAACGCACTAGCCCCGCGATCGCTTTCGCTGGAGATTATGGCCGGAAGACGCTGGCTACAGACAGTGTCAGCGCCTCCCAGTTTGGTTCATCTCCAGCTCACTGGTCCGAGTGAGAAAGCCTTAGGAGGGGTAGCAAGGCGCTTTCTACTCAGCAGAGAGCGACAGTGAAACTATTGGTCACAGGGATTCCGGTCTAGGCGTGCAACCGTGTCCTCTCCGGGTTTCTACAGCTGTCTGTAAGTGGTTTCAAGTGGAGCGGACTCCGAGCCTCTGAGAAGCACAGCTGGTAGAAGCCCACTGCGTCTATTGAGGTAGCTAGCGAGTGCCTGGGCGGCTGGGCTTCCTTCCCTTCTCTTTCCTCCCCTTCCTTCTTTCCTACGTTCCTCCCTCCTCCCTCCCTCCCTCCTTCCCTCCCTCCCTCCCTTCCTTCCTTCCTTCTTTCCTCTGTGTATATGTGTACCTGTGTGTATATGTCTGTGCGTGTGTGTGTAGTTAGGTGTGTGTATTAATATTTACAGAAAACAAAAACTACAAAAAAATCTCGCTAGGCTTTTTAGAGATCCCAAAAATATGCAGTTGCTGAGGCTTTATTTCTAGCCCTTATTCTCACAAGCCAGGTCCATAGGCACACCTCATTCCCAAGGAGCACACTTGTGCACCACCAACCAAGCATCCAACACCCGCAGCTGCCCCTCCCGCAGTACCTGGCTGGGGGCTCCTTTACACCCCTGCCTGGCCGCCTGGTCTGACTCCTGGCACGGTTGCAGTAAACAAAGCTTCAAACTACCTAAGGACCAGAAGCCTCAGGCCCCCTTTTCTGGATGTTACTAGTATGGGCTGCCAGGCCTCTGGTCTCCCCCAGCTGCAGGTCCAATGCTTGCATAAATTCAAATCTCAGACCCTTTTTCATTTTTGTCGACTCTCTGCATTCTGTTGGTAGTTGGGTTTTAGTTTCCGGTTTTATTTTAATTTTTTTTCCATGTTGAGTTCATATTTTACAACTGTTAAGGTTTTTTGTTTAGATTTTTTCAATATTTTTTTCTACCGTTAAGCTGTGTGGTTCAACCTAAGTTAACCCAAATATTTCCGCCGACTTTATAATTGTACAGTTTTGTATATTAAACGTTTTTTGAAGTTATTAATTTAAAAAAGATCATTTAGTTTATTCATTTAGTAACTGATGTATAATAAACGCTATTTTCATTAAGAGTTGCTTTTTCAACTATTTTATTCGAATTGCCTATTGCAGTTGCCAGCAATTATTTATTTTCAATAAATTCTGCATTGTGTTAAAAAGAAAACTCTCAAAGATGAGTTGGGTGTCAAAAGAAAGACAATTTGTTGTAATGTTTGATGTGAACCATTTTAGTCAAGCAGTTTATATTGACACAATATTTTATTGTTGTAAGAGATTTAAAAGGTTTAAATAAAAACATTTTTCCAGAAATCTTTTTTTTATTATTATTCTGGCTTTATTGTGTGGTGTACACACACAGTGAAGCATTCGAACAGTTACATTCTGGGTAAACAGCTCATCTGCTTTGGTTCAGGTTAGAAATCATCAGTCATTGTTTTGATTCTTGATTCTCTCCCTTTGATCTTTGGCCTTAAACAAATATGAGAGAGACAGAGAGACACACAGAGACAGAGAGACACACAGAGAGAAGAGACCTAGTATTATTATAGCACCCATGTTAAAGGTCACACAAAACACACCCCAAATGATGGAAATCAGTCCCGGAAGGGTGGAAGGCAGTCCAGGCAGGGAGTTTATTTCAAGAGGTGCAATCTTATTAATATTCTCCAAAAGGAGTCTCTCTCTCTCTCTCTCTCTCTCTCTCTCTCTCTCCTCCAACAGATAAACCCTTCTCTGAACCTGCCCCTCCTGAACTGAACCCAGACTTTTGCTGAGGCTTTCATATCACCTTGTTGGCTTCACCCACCTCTCTTCTTCCCTGTTCTCTCCAGGAACCCTTCATAGGTGAGTCCATTCCCCCTGATGAGAGATGGGAAGATTAATACATATAAGAAGTGTTTTTTTTTTTTAATTTATTTATTCTTAAGACACCCTGGGCCCAGCAACTATGATAAACTTTTGACTACTTAGTGTTGCCCAGTAAGGCTAAATTCTGTCCAATTCTTATCTAAGTTTGAGGGGCAGGAAGTATACATGAAGATATTTGGAAGGAAAGTCCCATTTATTATACTCTTATTCCCATTGCTACGTACCATTTTACCTCTATTATTTTATAGGACCCTCCCTAAACTAAAGGACAGTTACCTGTAGTGATGGGTGAGGAATAACTTACTAAATCAGAATTAGTTATGTTTTAAGGCTTTGTATATACATGTATGCCTTACCCCAATTTTTTTAGTGGACACATATATGCAGTAAATAGTACATATAACTATAGAATTTCAGCAGCAAAATTCCTCTCAATTCATAACCAAAGTATTTTTTTTGTTAGACAAAGAAACATTATTTAATCATTTTAATAGGTATTTATTATCACATGCAATATCTTGCAATTTTCAGATTGCCTAATGATTTACAACAGCACACTTCATCATAACATGTGAGTGTTGTATATGAATATGCTACATGTTGTGTATATACTCATGGACATATCTCTCTTTATAAATTATACTGACTTTATACAAATGTACCTACAAGACAAAACCCATAGTCTTAAACTTGTTGGTTCTATTTCTATTTATACAAACTGAACTCTTTCTCTTTAAATATCCTATAAAAATTTTAATTAATTAAAAAGTTTTTCTTAACCAAAGTACACAGAAACCAACTAACAGTATATACTGAATTTAGTGGGTACATGAGCAGGTATTTTAGAAGCTGCATATTTAAATATACAGATACAAATATTTGTCACTATCAATACTTTACTATGTATTACTGATAAATGAATATATATATATGTAATACATATTTATGAGACTTGTTTCCTTTATGACCTGTTTTCTCTCTCTTAAAATATAACCAAGACCTAGTTGGCCCTTAAGATGACCTCCTTATCAGCTGCCCTGTATCATTAGCATAACATTTTCATTAGAATTCAGACTAAGTTGGTTCCTCTGCCTGGGACTTTCCTTCTACTGAAGTTGCCACCATCCAATTCCCAGCCAAGGCCTTTGTAAGAAATAGAAGCTTTAGCTGCAGTTTCTTTCAGGTGTTTGCAGCAATGGTTCTATCTCCCATAATAAGAATTGGTAGGTTAAAAAGGAAGAATAATAACCATATTTAATGAAATGAAAGAAAAAAAAAATCATTCCCATCACCTGATTAGAATAATAGAAAATGAAGAGATTATGGAAGGGATAAGATGAGAAATAAACAAGTGCTCATGTGGTACAGATATGTAAACAAAGTCAAAATTCTAATCATGCGTATGTAAACATAAGTTGATGAACTATATGGCTTTGGCTCTTTGCATGGATAACAAAAAGAAAACAATTACTAAACTTTAGCTTGTATCTTTACTTTTTTTTTTTTTTTTTTTTTTTTTTAGCTTGTATCTTTACAACAATAAAAGAAGAGAAATACTACACCTGGAAATTGGTTTCTTATTTTTAAAAACAAAAAGTTAGGAAAAATCATTGCTTATATTAGTATATGAGCTGTTTTTATCATTCATAAAATCAAACACTATTCCCTTGTACTACTTAACATTTAGATATCTTCCTTGCCTCCATGCCAGACTTTTGTTGTTATTTTAATTGTCTGAAGGCTATATGTGGAAACATAAATTTATGTTTTCATTTAAAATGTATTTTAGTAAGGGAGGAGAATAAGAATGGTGAGAATGGAGAAGTAGGAACTGTTTAGAAGTTAAAAAGTAGTTTCCTAAATAAAATAATGTATTTTCCACTTGTCATAGTTTTTTAAAGACACGTAGTAATCTCAAAATCATAGAAATTATTTACATGATTTAAAATTTAAAAATACAAATATATGACACTCTCAAAAATTTCTTAAAATGAAGTAAAAGTAACAATGCAAAACAATACTATGTGAATTGGTAGCACCCACAATCACCCATTCTATAAAATAAGGCTAGAGCATTCCTTATCCATGCCCCAGATAATAATTTTGAAAATAACAACTCTCCAACTTACTCTTTGCAGATGTTAAATTTTAAAACATAAAGAAAAAATAATATAAAATATTTTAAATCACTAAAAGTGATTTTAATAATTTGAAATAAAAGTATGTTTTTAAAAGAGCCCTACTGGTGGAACATTTCTAAAATAAGGAGATTTTTCTAAAAGAATACTGTCTCAAAAACAAAATCCAGTTTAACATCTATTACCTCTAAAGTGGGGTAGGGTGATTATATACAAGGGACCTAGACTATTATTTCTGTAAACAGAATCCACAAAGTTAAACCTGTGTCTTCCAGTGAAAAATACACTAGGTCACTATGACTTCTTTCATAAATATAAATATAGAACTTATACTCATTCACACATAATCTAACTCACTAACTAGAACTTGAGTTTCTCTTTACAGCACAACTTATTATCAAGGAGAATTTAGTATCAGATAGGCTCACCTTGGGAGCCTTCCAAAAGGATATTTTTAATCAATTATCAAAAAAAAAAACATTATTATGAAGTGGCCACACTTTCCCCTCCCTCTACCCCTGCAATTGCACACAACCAGGGTGACTTAACAGAAAGTAGACTGTCCTCAAAGACAAGAAAGAGATCAACTCATTGACCTATTCAATTAGTCATGTCTTTTTATCTCTCCATCTACTCAAGCTGTGTTCACACTTTTCTAGTATAGCCAATTGAAAGGAGAAAAATATGACTCTATCAAACTCTTTTTTATCTATATAAATTAAAATAAAACCTAACTTGAGTGTTCCTTCTCCAAGTTCTGATATTACTTAATAAATTGACTGTTTTGCAAATTGTCATCCTGTAAGCCATGTTTATTATATAAGCATCGATTCCTGGAAGGAAAGGGATTATATAAATAATTTTCATATTAATTGCATCACATCTTCCAAGTTATTTCTCGCATACTGGAAAATTTCTTTATAATTGGCTGGTTATCTCTCAGATTTGATTAGCCTTAAAACAGCTTTTGCCCCACCCCCTTTTCACAGGTTGTAAAAGTAAGGTTGTAAACTGATTGTTA